TCTACAATGAACACAAAGATAATGTTTAGTTATTAAAATACTTTTTAAAGAACGTTTATATGTTTTCCTATTATCATGGGTCTAACATCTCCCCCTTTGAAGTTCAAGGTCCTTCTCAATCTGGTTCCTCCTCCTTAGTCTTAGTGTATACAGCCCCTAATATCACCTGAGGTTCTCAATGACCAGATTCCATCACTCACACTATTCCTTGAGGACAGCTGTTGCTTTCAAACTCAGCTCTACTCCTAATGTTCATTCTACCTGGAATATATTCCCTTTTCATTTCTACCCACTAAGACCCTATCTATTCTCTACGGTCTATCTGCAATGTTCCAGAAAAGGCAAATATTAGCATTCCCATCTCCCTTGTCCACAGCAGATATCACTAATGACTTCTCTGAATCCAGATTCTTTCTCAAAATCCTCAATTCAATAGTCCTAGGCAATCCTTACTGATCAACTCATGATGATACATAAAAATAAAACTTATTTGCCACATAAAATTAAACTTAGCAGCACCCATTTAGTTCTTTGTAGTCTATAAGAGCTTATTTTCTCCACCTTCTATTAAGAATCACTTACTTGTATTATCTCCTTTCCCTACTAGATTTTAATCTGCACGGTGCAGTAACTCTGTCTTATTCATCTTCATATCCTCTACAGAGCCATGTATGAGGTAAGCCATTCAAATGGTTGCTGAACAGGACTGTTCATTCTTTTACTATTGTCTCATCACTCAAAATGACTAAATATTTGAAAACTTTATTTTGAAATAAGTAGACTGTTCTGAAAGGACTAATTATTACAAGTTTATTTTATTAATTTTAGCGAACACATATGTTTCAATTTAATATGGTGTTGTCTGATACCACACAACATAACCAAGATTCCAAGAATGCATAAAAAGCCATTGGTAAGGAAGATGACTGAGATAAGAGAACTGAAATCACTTGAAGGGTCTTATACCCAAGTGTGGGAGCTACTGAATTAAACAACCAACCACTTTTGGAAATTTTTTCTACCAATCATCTTACTGAATTGCAAAATGCTTTATTAGAAATACTGAAACTATGATAGTTGTGATGGTGCATGCCTGTAATCCCAGCACTCTGGGAAAGTGAGGCAGGAGGATCCCAAGTTTAAGTCAAACCTGAGCAACTTAATGAGGTCCTGTCTTAAAATTAAAGAAAAAAATTTTTGCAACCTTATAATTTCTGCTTTAATGGCAATCAAGTTCAAAAAAATGTAAAGTTCAACTTATTTACACTATTTATTCCTTTATAAAAGGCAGATTTCAGGTAAGCTTCTAGATGCATGCATATTTTAGAGGTTAATGTTTTCTTATAGTCCTTGGTTCCTGAAATTCAAACTTTATAAGGTGTGTTTTAAACTTATGTCAAAACAGTCATGAAAGATATGTTATTAAAATTATGGCCAGGGATTTAACTCAGTGGTTTCACTGCCTGCTGCGCAAGCGCAAAGATCCCAAGTTCGATCCCTGGTACCAAAAAAAAAAAATTTAAACTGATGTAACTCACTGCAAAAACCTTAGGTTCAATCTCTAGTACCTCAAAAAAGAAAAGAAAAGAAAAGAAAAGAAACTAAAGGATTCTGAGCAACAAAAATATACATTGCGCTGGAGATTTAGCTCAGTGGTGCCGCCATCTGCCTTGCAAGTGCAAGGTCCCGAGTTCAATCCCCAGTACCCCCCCC